GGGGGGGGGGGGGGGTGATGTTTGTGCTATACGATTTTTTAGACTTTCCACAACTCTTAGATTTATTTGATCTGCCTAAAGTTGTTAGGCCATACCCCCCCCGGCCCTCCCCTCTTTTGAAAAAACTCAATTTAAATATTAATCCGTTGGCTGGCAGTCCCTATAACCTTGGTCCCAATGGGCTTCTAGAAGCAACCATAGTAAAGCTATAGTTCTGTACAAATTAACGTTCATACACCGAAGGCCCTTTACACCTTTATTTGTCTGCGTTTTACTATAATATCCAATTGAATTGCTAAATATCGAATACATTTATATTGTTAAAAAGATAAAAAACATAGAATACTTAAAATAAAATCTATAAACATACCTTAATATTCTACATTATTCAGATTCGTTAAATAATCAACTTTTCTGTACACATATGTTCAGACTATAAATGGTAATATTCTGAATGATTTTCGCTTTTCATTAAATATTCTACCCAATGTATATAGATACATATATTTATATAGACTATTAGTGATACGCTTTGGTGATCTTGAAGTAAATAAATAGTAGCTGACATACATATTACGTCCGAACGAAATCCTCGCATTACTGGTCTAATGAATCACAAAAACTAAAAATAGTACTACACTTATAACTCAGAAGTCTATGTTATTGGTATATGTTTTAAGCTGTAAAGATAATATTTTGGGTTTATCTGTCGGTTATAGGTGCCAATTAACAGTAAATTACATTATTCCCGCCTACTTATCTCTATATATTATGGATTTCTGCGCGTGCTTATCATTTTAATCTAAAGCAGACGAATATTACAAAAACAAATAGACTAAATCTATAGTGATTATTAAGTATAAGGTATCAATCAGTAAATTATAAAGTTTAAGAGTCCAATATTCAAATCAAAATTATCGAAATACGGTGTATATACAGCTAGTGAATCCGTCATACTGTATATACGCAATCCGTTATACAGGGTATGTATACAATATGTGTCATTCAGTGTATACACAATCCGTCATATATTGTATACACAATCTGTCATACAGTGTATACACAATCTGTCATACAGTGTATACACAATCTGTCATACATTATATATACAATCCGTCATACAGTGTAGCCTATACACAATCCGTCATACAGTGTATTATACAGAATGCATCATATTGCCGTGTTAACACAATGTGTATACGTCATACAGTGTATACACTATGCGTCATTCAGTATTATACACAATCCGTCATACATTGTATACACAATCTGTCATACAGTGCAAGTATATACAATCCGTCATATAGTGTATACACAATCTATCATACAGTGTATATACAATCCGTCATAGAGTGTATACACAATCCGTCATAAAGTGTACTATACAGAATGCATCATACACTGTATACACAATGCGTCATGTACAGAGCGAGCATAATCCGTCAAACAGTGTATACACAATCTGCCATTCAGTGTATACACAAAAGGTATACAGTTTATACACAATGCGTCATGCAGACTATACACAATGTGTTTTATGGTATTTTCACAAAATTCCGAATAAGTTGCTTTACATTACTTTACTAAAAAAATGGAGATATAGTAATGAACTTAATTTTTTGTCTAATTTTTCAGAGTTGTCGGATTTGGCAAAATGTAAATTACCACAGTATATAGGCCTAATCCTAGGCCTGCATTACTTTTGTAAAACGTACAATAATTTTTAAGAAACTGAAAGTAATTAATAAGTATAAAAATCATATTTTTTTAAAACATGAAAATATCTGCCCCATTAATTTTTATGTCGTCTACATTTCGACTACTTTTGGCCCCGCCTTTTAACAACCATGTGACTAGCCATGTGCTTTGTTACTTAAAATAGACATTAGAAATACCACATTCGAACAATGGTGATTGTGCAGAGGGAAATCATATGCAATCTTTATTATATTTGTTCCATGTGCATATTAGGCACATGAATTCAGATTTAGTTGATATTTATGTAAAATTTCCAATTTTACGATGTAAACATTGGAATTTCCGGTAAAGCTGTTGAGCATGCGCGATGACTGAACAGAAACAATGGCGGACGACACAAGAGATCAAGTACTGGTTGATTTCCAGGTATAATTCCCAGTTTTTTGGGAATAGTTTAATCGTTATCGATATAATATTTACGTGTCTTAAAGATCGAATAATCATTATTATGATTTGTTTAGTTTCCAACCCGGCCTTTCCCTTTTGAATTTGAATTTATAAGACAAAGCATTCGTTTATTACAACGTAAAAAGTAAACATCTTTTCGTTTTCCATTTCGTATGTTGCAACTTGCAAGTCATCTCACTGCCTTAGCACTCTCGATGGTAAATTGAATATTATCGATTAAAGAAAATTCGAATAACATCACTAATGATCTTAGAAAGATATGTTAATTATTGATTAAACATAGACAAGGATTCGTTGGGTTTTGACGGAGACCTTACTCTACTACTGTCACCTGTAGTAACAGTGTAGCAAACCTTAGGCTAGATTAGGTATCTCGTTACTGTTGTTCCTTTTTCTTCATTTTGTAAACAAGAACTTGTGAGTTACTTTGGAGATCTTCCGCGATTTTTAAGTTGAAGGAGTTTGATGCCACTTAATTTACTTATAATATGTATTGACTTCTATAGAGAAGTTCATGAGCTAGCTATAATAATTTTTGTCTATGTTTCAGGCCTTTACTGGAATTGAAGACTTTGATACCTGTGCAGCTATTTTAGAACAACATGACTGGAAACTTGAGGTATATTTTAATATTTTTACAAAAGTTATAAACAATAAACATGACATGAATGGAAAAGCAAAGAATGATTGTACTCATCTTCACAATGTCAAGCTATAACATCCTTCGTCTTACAACTTGACTTCAATAGCCATCTTTTTTGTATCACCGAATACCACCATTTGATTGGATTTTACGCCACCAAATACAGCCAATCGTAGCCCTCGACAGAAAGACTGTAAACATTATGGCTTATTGATAACAAACATTCTATCGAGACATACATTCCAATGACATCGCTGCATTTGCAAACTTGACGGTAAAAGAATAGTAGTTACTGCAGTATTAGGTGGAATTTGTAATAACTTGACATTGACATTTACTATGTTAAAGATGTTTCCCTTATTTTCATTTATGAAAATGCTAATACTTACATGTCCATAATTAATTCATGATAAGCTAAATTAAAAGAAAATCCAATGGGTGACCGATCAAGAAAGGTCAAAAGTCTTTTTTCATTTATTGGTTAAAACTCTTAATTTTATACAATAAAAACATAATGATATGATTAAGAATACATGATAATTCAATAGTAACACCGATTGAAGAAATTTCTCATTTGCCTTTGGTGAATGAGAAAAACAATCTTACCAATTTTGAACGAAAATCTCTCAATAATCTAAAAAATGACAAAAACATTATCATCAGGAAAAGTGACAAAGGCAGTTGCTGCGTCATTCAAAATCGCGATGACTACATTTTTGAAATTGATAAACAGTTGAACAATCCAAATCACTTTCGCCAACTTGATACACCTATTTTTATGGAAACTGCGCGAGAAATAAACAATATTCTACAAAATTTGGTAAACAAGAAATTTATTTCAGAAAAGCAATATGACTACCTTTCCGCGTCCACTGAGCCTTACCAACGACACATTTACACGCTTCCGAAAATTCATAAAAATCTCGAAACTGAGTGGTCCGTTGCCAACAAAATTCCTAAAGGTAGACCAATCATTTCTGATTGTTCTAGCGAATCATACCGAGTTTCAGAATACATAGATTACTTTTTACTGCCACTAGCATGCCAACACCCTTCTTATCTGAAAGACACAACCGATTTTGTTGAAAAAATCAAGAAATTGGACATTCCCGAAAACGCGTAATTCATTTCTTTGGACGTAACCAGTATGTATACCAACATTGTTTAACGCGCAATGACTTCTTTTTTAATGGAAAAATATATTTACAAACATCTGGAACTGCTATGGGCAAACAATTTGCCCCTAGTTATGCGAATATATTTATGGCCGAGTGGGAGAGGGAGATAGAAAATATCTCACTGTTTAAACCTTTATTTTATGGCCGGTTTCTTGACGATATTTTTTTCATTTGGTCCGATACTCTAGAACATTTCTGGAAATATTTCGAAATTTTAAACAACCACCACCCTTCTGTGAAATTGACAGCAAATATCAGCGAAAACAGCATGGATTTTTTGGACACCACGGTGTTCAAAGGCAACAACTTTCTTTCTTCTAAAAAATTAGACATTAAAGTATTTTTTAAGGAAACTGATACCCACCAACTTTTATACAAAAGCTCGTTCCACACGAAGCACACATTTTCTGGAATAATTAAATCTCAAATTCTAAGATTTCATAGAATTTGCACCCAGCAGGCTGATTTTGAATCCGCCTGTAAACTAGTTTTTGACAAATTAAAGGAGAGGGGTTATTCCAAAAGGTTTCTTCGAAAAATTAAGAATGACACGCTTTCAGACATTTTGAGAAAAGAAGACCAACCTCCACCTTTTATTGGATTCGGTTTATTTCCCTGTGGAGGTCCTACTTGTCGCACATGCGAACACATACATGTTACCCATTTTTTCAAAAATAACAAGAACGGAAAATTGTTTGCGATGAATAACCTAATTTCTTGCGGAGATCAAAATATCATATACCTAATTTCTTGTAAAAAATGCGATGTACAATGTGTTGGCGAGACTCAAAATGCGCTTCGAACGCAATTCAATGGCCGTCGCTATGATATAGTGCATGGCAAGGATAGACCAATTGCGAATCACTTCAACCTTCCCGATCATTACATTGATGACCTTCTCATCATGCCTATAGAAACAGTTTCTACATCACCTAGCATGAAACCTAAGCTTAGACGTCTACAACGCGAAAGTTATTGGATCGATCAACTGCAGACTGTGAGGCCAAAATGGACTCAACATTCAACATGATAACCAGATAATACCCTTTATAACGACATTTGATTCTACAGCTGAACTTCAGAACAAATTTCCCCATGTATACACGAAACGTTTGGTTGTAGCTTACAAAAGAAATCAAAATCTTAGCAATTTCCTCTTTCACGGTAGACTTGAACCATTGAACAATGTCCATTCATCCTAGGAGCATAGATTTGTTAATATAAATGTATCATGTTCTATCAATAAATTAATCTATTTCTGAGTTAGATTTCAGGGAATACTTATTTCAGGACTGGTGCCATGGCTATATACAGTGTATTATATAACATGCAGTGTATTTTTGTGTTTGTGTCTTTTCAACTAAAATCATACTAATGACTAACTAATTTTCACATAATCAATAGACTTATCTATTGCTCTGTGACCTAGGCCAGTGCTTTCATTGAGACTCGTCTCAATACACCCTAACACCGATTAATCAAAAAGTTTGCTTAATATGACACTCAAAAATAAGGAAACCCGTCTTTAACAGAAATAAATCTCTGTACAGTAGGATGCATGATTTCTTGATAATTCTTATTATTTGAAACTGGTACATACTCCTCCTTTGAGCTAAAAAATATACCAAATGGAATGGGAAAAAAGTTTTGATGTGTTTCAGATAATTGGACATTACTTACCTTTGTTGTTAGGCTTACTTTCTGAGCGTCAAAAAATTGATGCTGACTAATTATGTGGTGACCAATGCATACCCTCTTTTGAGATCATTATCAGAATGAACTTGTTTTGCTCAATTGAATGAATTAACTACAAATCACCAATGATTGAGTTTCCTTGTTTTAATTTTGATTTTTTTAAATTTCTTTGAGCACAAGGTATAAAATTTGTTTGTAGGTCGCTGTCAACAGTATTATGCCATCATTTGAAGCAGTTGGACCCAGAGAATGTGAAGCAGTACCGTCAGGCTTTTCAACAGCAATTCCAGATGAAGCAACAGACAGTGGACACATGTACATACCAAGTCCTATAGAAGATATTGTTAATATCAGTGATGATGAATCCTCAAATGCATCAGGTGCAGCATCTGCTAGTCATATAGCAGCTGTTGGTATGTCTGTACCATCATCTAGTTACAGCAATATTAGACGCAGGATGTTAAATTTTAGTGTAGAATATAGAGATAGAAATATTCCTGTTGTTATTGCTGATAATGAAACAATAGGTGTGTACTATTTTTTTTAATTTTTATCACTTGCTAATCTTATATTTCATGTACATGTTCGGTTTATTTTGGCCATATTTGTTCCATGACACCTTTTTAAGTAGAATAAAGAAATTTAAGCTTGGCTTGATTTGTATGGGTTATGTCAAAGAAGGGTGTTCTATCCCAAATTATCAAGGGCAAAATTCTTTTTTTTTTTTTTGACAACATCAATGCCAATTTTGTGTCCAAATCTCTATTCAAAATTTCTTTTCATTTTCGTATCTTGTTAAGCTTAAATGTCATGTACGGTTTATTTTGGCCTTATTTGTTCTGACAGCTTTTGGCAGCTTATTCATTAAAAAAAAATAAATTTAAGCTTGTCTTGAATTGTATGGTTTATGTCAAAGAAGTGTGTTCTATCCCAAATTATCAGTGCCAATTTCGTGTCTAGATCTCTTCTCAAAATTTTGAATGTAAACTTTGTCTTTTGACATTATAATATGTCAACTTGCTCAAGATCAGAAAAGAAATGTATGGCGTAATGTTCTTTCCGAATCTTAAACAGTTTGAATTTTGGTGACTTCTATTGAACTTGATATTTTTTCTAAATTAAAGGTAGTATCAAAGATATTTTAGAGGGAGAAATAGGTATTCCTGCTGGTCAACAGGTTTTAAAGGGCATCAAAAGAAAATTTGACGATACAGTAAGTATTGAGAATCTTTGTGTTAATAAGATGTAAACTTCAATATTCTGTAAACTGAAAGAAGAGCTTCTGAATAGTGAACTCTTCTTAGAACAAAACAGATAGAGAAATTAGAGATTTTAGAGGTGCTATGATCAAGTAGATTTCTATGGCATGCGATTAGTCTCTTACAGAGCCAACTGAAAATAAACACCACCTTGTCAATAATTAGACAATAAATAGTTGTTGTTCATTTTATATGAGGCAGTGAATGTTGGTGAATCAGAACTGCCTTATTTAAGTTTCATTTATGTGAACAACACAAATAAAAAATGGCTTGGAGGAGGTGTTTTGATCGGCTGGTTTTAAAATGAGACGATATTCACATGTTGATGACCTTATCAAATGAAAAATGCTTTTTTTCAGACTATATTAAGAGATTTACACCTACCAAAAGACAATTCTTTATATGTGTTAACACCAAATATTAATAATCCTACATTATCAAGATCTCGGGAAGATAATAACCATATACACAAGTAAGTATTTAACATGGAAAAAATAACCATATTCATAAGTAAGTATTTAACATGGAGATAATAACCATATACACAAGTAAGTATTTAACATGGAGATTATAAGTATTGAACATGGTGATTATAAACATATACAGAAGTTAGATATTTAACATTGAGATTATAAGTATTTAACATGGTGAATATATAACCATATACACAAGTAAGTATTTAATAGATAGAGATAATAACCATTTACACTTAATTTAGTGTTGAACATGGAGATAATAATCAGTTACGAAAGTAAGTATAGAAATGGTTACCATGTACACAAGTTAGTGTTAAACATGGAGTTAACCAGATTGTCGTTACGGTTCCAAAACCTCGTAATTTCGGAATTTTCTCAAATTTTTAAAGATTAAAAAAAAACTTAGAACCTACACATCCTACCACATATACTGTCAGTGTCATAATCCTAATCAAATTAGAAAACTTTTTTTTAGCCATGTCATGAATTGTATTTTTATTGGTTCCGAAATATTTACGTTTAAACCTTGTATCTTGGCCACGTATGAAATTGATGTCATATGCCTTACTTTTAATGGTGAGTATTTTTATATGTTATTTAAAGATATTTGATATTGAATTATTTAAATTTAATGCTAAAATCACTTATGATGACTTTGTCTCATATTTCATGATATATAATCTGGAATTCAATGAGAGAGAATTTAATAGTCTCCAAGATTTCTAGTTTGCATGTTCATTTCATTAATTGAACTTGAAGTATTTCATTTTATGGTAGTTTAGAATAAATCTAATCATTGACAGTCTACAAGTTTTTGAAATTAAGATTTTCCAAATTTAGTAACATACAAGGTTTTGACATGATCTAATTCATTTTAATGTTATTATATTAATCTAATCATTTCACTTTCAGGTGAAATTCACTTATGTTCACAAAACCTACACCAAAACACTTCAGATGAGATCTCATAATTTTAATAAAAAGAACGCCTTTCCAGGTGCACCAACCACTGATCAACTGCCCTCAACCAACACTTTACCTGTTTATTCACAATTTAATCAACTTCACACCACTGACGATCTTATCCCTCTCAGTATGGATTTGTCCATTAATTCTCTGGATCCTGTATCTAACGTGAATAATCATCTGATGTCTTTATATGCAACAGCAGCAATATAGTTTCAACCATTATTGATGACCAATCTATGAATGAAGAGGTGATGGATTTGGATTGAATCTGAAGCTAATGATGACGAACCTATAGATAGATATTTTACAAAATACAGTTTTAAATGATTCTGCTCTGAATACTTTCTTAATCCATCTTAAAGCACCACTGTTCAAGCAAACAGATATTGGCGATGATGAAGATCTTTTAGATGACTCGTATCGTGATCAAGATTGAGAGCTTATCTCAAGTGCAGAAGATAATTTAGATGATATGCGACGACAAGATGAGACAGATGATGATGGTGATAATGATTAATAGGACATACCCCCAACGTAGACAAAGATGGGAATGACAACAGGAGAGACAAGAGAAATGGGTTATACTGGGAAAAGAATGTGAATAAGCAGCTGAGAATGAAAGGGAAGAACTATAAAGGTTTGATGAAGGTAGATGGCCTATTTAAATTGATATTGATAGGGAATGCAAGAAATTAAAACCAAGTAAAAGTATTAAAACAAACAGCAAATGTGGGAAGAATAACAAGATAAAACAAGGCGAACAGAGAGAGGTTCATAGGAGAACATGAACGGCAGACAGCAACATTCTTTTGAATATTATCTCAAGATTATATATGAACGTAGTGTGTAAGTCAATGATTTTCGAAAATCTTTTATTTCTAAAGATAACCATAGCTTCTTTGATGAATTACTACATGGGAATTAATCATTATCATGTATGATACTGGATGCAATGGAGTTGCTCTTTGGAGTCAAATTTATATTGTTTTATTAGTTGTCTGCTGTTTTTTCTTTTACTTTTTTCCTTCAAATATTTTGATAACAATAACAAGTTTTCCATTCTTTATTTCATTACAATATCATGTTTACATCTATGGACTTCAAATCTCAAATATATTTTCCAAGAATATTTCCTAGCTCTACCATTTATGTAGACAAATCCCATGATGTTCAATAAGAATAGGTTCCTAAAGTCTGTGTGCAAAATTGTCAAGTATTGATACTGGTTCACTCCAAATATATAAATCTATCGATGATGTGAAGCACCATTCAATGGACTCAAGGTTGACAAATCGTCATATTTCAGAATATTAGTTAAGATAGTGGACCACAGCCATATACGCCCACCGCGGCATGCGGATGGTAAAAAATTAAAGATTTTGAGGCAAGGGCAATAACTCTGCTTCTTATGGTCGAAAATAGCTCGAATTTTATTTGATTCCATCAAAAAATCTAGTTTTTAGAGTGTAAAAAGGGCGATAACTCCTCAAAACTGACGTAAGAAGCCTAAATCTTGAAAAGCTTTCAATTTAATCAGAAGTAAACTAAACTTTCTTAAACCTTTCGATTTAGGTCCAATAACATCCATTTTAAGTTTCATCAAAATCGGTTGAAAACTAAGAGTAATAGCATATTCAAGATTTTGGGGCAAGGGCAATAACTCTGCTTCTAACAGTCGAAAATAGCTCAAATTCGAACTTGATCTTCGTTGTATGAATATGTATACACATACCGAATTTCATTTGATTCCATCAAAAACTCTAGTTTTTAGAGCGTTTACAAGCAAATGTTGACGGATAGAGATATGTGGGCGTATAAAAAGCTGAGAAAATTGGTGTATTTCGGATTTTGCTTTTTCAAAATTCATCAAAATGTTGTATGTCTGTTTTGACGCGAGTGATAAGAAACAAACTTGATTTTATTGCTAGAAAATATGTGAGAAAACGTTGATTTGACTTTAATGAAAACCTGAGTTATTTAGATCGAAAGCTTAGATTTTTCAAAGTTTTTTTGTCTCTCCTGTAAAGTTACAAATTTAGAGATACAAGATTATGAACGAACAGCGATGTACACAAGTAAGTTTTTATCACAAAGATAATAACCATTTACAAAAGTAAGTCTTTAATACATAGTTTATAACAATATACAAAAGTAAGTATTTAACTCAAAAGATAACCATTTACACAAGTAAGTATTCAACACAGTGATCATTTATTTACGCAAGTATTAAACATGGAGATTTTAACCATTTAAACAAGTAAGTGTAAAACATTGAGATTTTAACCATATACACAAGTAAGTGTAAAACATGGAGATTTTAACCATATACACAAGTAAGTATTTAACCTTTAGATAATAACAAGTAAGTATTTTGAAAATAGCATCTAACATTAGAAATATTTATTTTCCTTTTTCTATTTGAGTATTAATGGGAAAATATTAAAACAAAACTGATTGCTTTTAGCATTGACATTTAATTAAAACAACTTTTCATTATAGAGCGCTTGAAATCTAATCGCTGTATTATTAATATTTTTTTGATTAAACAGAAAAAAAAACCTGAGCTCATATATTTTTCAGTAGTCATGATATGAATGAAGAATACAAGTTAGAAATATCATTTAATGAAAGTAGTAGATATAGAATGTATAATTTAAAATATCCTGGTAGAAAAACTGTACAAGAGGTAGATATACTTGTTTTATTTTTTTGACGAAAACCCAAGCATAGTCTTATTACTAATCAGTATTTCCAGTGCTTAAGTAGGACATTTGTTTTTATGTATATTATGTTCAACTTATGGTCCATCGTACTATTTTTTTTTTGTTGAAATGTAGGTTGAAATTCCAATATATATTTAAACAACTGCACACAGAAATTTTTGGGTAAAATTTGGAGAAAAAAAACATCCAAAAAAGAAATCATAATAGATAACCAGTTTCTATTTACATCTGTGTGTTAAAGTAATAAAGATCAAATTTGGTCATTAGAGCATCTCAATAACTGGAAAATATTTTAATGATGTAATTAATAACTGATTAGTAAATTTAAATCATTAACTAGGATATTTTCTCCTCAGGTGAAACAAGATTTATCCAATGTATCAGATATACCAGTAAGACATCAGATCTGGACAGGGTGGCCTCAAGGTACCAAAGATAATGTAAGTTTTGTAATTAAACCAATATGTAATGTGTTTCAACTGAGAATACAGACAGTTTTTTCAGTGAAAATACAATGGTCACTTGATATCATATCATTTGTATTTAATGATTCTTTCAGATGAAGTTTACCTTCACGCATTTCTGAGAACGGGCAGTATAGGTCCCATTTTCCCGCTGTCTATTGAGTGTTTCAAGGCATCATAATATAGACTATTACATCATAATGACATCGCCATCTTTTTAACATATGACATAATTTGTGTTATGAGCCTCGCATTGGATGGTTTCAAAATGAGGCATGAATAAGGTCTATTCAAATAGAAGCTCTGTATGTCTTTATTTTTCCTTTTTTCGAATTTTCCACCAATTTCTTCAAAAAATTTGGAACTGAGCTTTTTGATGTTGTTAATTTGAATGTAGTTGCCTTGACTCTGAGTTGCCCAAATTGCAGAGTAAGTGAGGCACTTTCTGAAACAAAATATCTGTATTTCAATCTAATTTGTTATTTTCTATATTTTAGTTATATTTATCTCAGTGCGGTCTAGATTTACCAACACATAAATTAACTCTAGCCAGGGCCAATAATACAACCAATAATAAATCTACTCATAGACACACTGCAGACGTAAGATATGATTTTATATTGAAAACTACTGTAGCTGTATGCATTGAGCAGTGTGCTAATGAATTTACAGCTTTCCCATGTGTTGTCAGCATTTGGCCTGTGGCGCTTCGTTGACTATGCAGAAGCATTTGGACTTTGTAATACAACGTGTAAGAAAACTGAGCTCTGTATGCCATCTGCAGATCTGGATGAAAAATCAACAACAATAAGTGAATTGACTATATTGCACACTTTACTTATTGTTTAAAGTAATGTAGGTTTATTATCAATTAAAGGGACAGGTGCTTTTTTTTTTGACCAATGGTAGTTGAGTCTCAGAAACGAGAATTTTTTTTAGCTAAGCCAATCAGTAATAGTGTTCACTGCTCATCTTCGTAATTTAAGCCTTCAAAACCATGTATGTCTAGAATTATTTGTCTTTAAAAAGACACCTGGCCCTTTAAAAAGAATACATGTAATTAGAAAATTACAAGAAGACTTACATTTATAGGAAGTGAAATATTGTGACAGTAAAATATATATATTATTGTAGGAAGTTGTAATGGAATTAAGTAGTGATGAAGATGAAGTTATTGATAGTTTTCAGGAAGATGAACTGTTCAACTCAGAATCAGATTCTACACCTAGTCGACGAAATACTACCTTAAGTAAGTAATTGCTATGATTCTATACGATTTTAGAATTAGCAAAGATACTAGAGTGTCATTGAATCAAGTTTTACAATTTTTTGCTGTGTTAGAAAGTAGCTGGATATTATTCAATTCATCAATTTCTATCCGGTTTGGAAATTTGAGGATAGAATTTGAAAATTCCCCATAGAATCAAGCTAAGCTGTCAGCTGATTGCTTCTATCAAAAATGATTATCAATGCTCTGGAGTCAGCAAGTATGAAAGCCCGACTTCCAGTCCAAATCGATTTGGCCTGCATTTTTTATGTCCACTATGACACCATTATCACATGACGTAGACTTTAAAAATAAGGTTACCTGATCTTTATGTAAATCACAGTAATCATTACTTTCTTTGTTCCCATGGGCTGAATGTTAGACATTTTGTATTGGACCTAATTCTTCTAGTTCATTGTTAATATACAGTATATAGGAGATAGTTAAAAAAAAAAAAAAAGGGTATATATTATGGTATAACACACTTCTTTAATAACAAAGTACATAACGTTTCAACACACTTTACAAGCGTTGTCATCAGATGAAAATAACTGGAGATTGTTTGTGATAAAGATTCATTTGTTCTTAATGATTACACAGCCCACAGTCATTCATTGATTGTTACTATCTTTACAGTGCCAGAAAGTTTTTCAGATGAAACAGAAGCTTTAGAACATCTTACTAGAGAATTTAAAGAACGGTATGTACATAACATTTTCTAGACAATTTATATTTTATATGAGTGTCTCACTAGTCGTCTCAGGAGGTAGAGATGATACAGATGATACCTTTGGATATTTCAACCGGGTTTCCCCCTGTTAATGATGCAGGTAAGAGGGGCTGACATGGAAAAAAGCGTCAAGTCATTCGGATGAGACAATAAACCGAAAGCCATGTGCCACAGGATGTGCATGTTAAAGATCCCTTGACAGTTGGAAATCGAAAAAGAGCAGGCTAATGCCGCTGTCCTGGAAAAATTCCCTCATTGTACCCTGCATGGCATTGCCCATTTTTTAAAAAGTTTTGTTTGGATTTGATGTCTTGAATATGTATTTTTCTATGTAACATATTCCCTAAGATCAAGTTCAGATTTATAATTTTCAGATACGGTGAAACACATCCAGTATTTTTTATTGGATCATTAGATGATGCTATAAAAGAATCTTTACAACTAAAAGCCACAGATGTAAGATCATTATTTCAGTTTATAAATTTATACAGTTAAAGGGACAAAAATTTTTTGTTCTCAAATTTGAGAAAACTATGCACCAAAATCTAGAGAACCTAATCATCTGAAAGTTTGAACTAAAAAAATCCAGCCCTTAATTTTATAACGCCAAAACTATTTAAAAATATTACGTAAGGTTTTAAAGTTTGTTATGCCTTTTTGGAAGCTGTTAAACCACTGTAAGGTATTTGAATAAATAAACACCTTATTGTAGAGAAATATGTCTCCTACTTATTCTAAATGTTTCAAATTCCCACGGCTGTCTTGTGTACGTCGTATTGTAATGGGTGATTGATACTGACTCTTCCATTTTGTTATGATCAGTGGAAAAATTCTGCCGATTGACAAACAAATGTGTGCCCCTTTCGGGATAGGGTGTAAAAAAATCACTGGTGACTTTAATTGAGATGATTATACAAAAAAATACCCTTGTCTGCCCCTAGTATTATGTTAAATATTAACAGCAAGGGCAGTAATTCAATATGTTATTGTTATTTCAGAGGAAGTTATTAGCTATATATTTACATCATGATGGAAGTATATTTTCTAATGTATTTTGTTCTCAATTATTATGTTCTGATAGTATTGTCAATTATTTATCAAGTAATTTTATCACCTGGGCCTGGGATCTCACTCATGAAGCCAACACAAATAGGTAAGAAATTCTGCAGTCTCCATTTATGTCAGTTGTGTGAACTTCTCTAAGCTCGATGTAACGCTCATGGGCTCATTATTTTTGCAATCCATAAAATTTAAAGCTTTTGATAGTTTAATTAACCATGTGCAGGGTTTTGCTTTTTCACAGTGTCTTACAGATTTAATTGACAATAAAAAAAAATTGTTAAAACCATTTTGATCAAGATTTCAAATAGTTAAAGATGGGTTCCCTTATTTTTATTTATGAAAATGAAAATGCTAATACTTATATGAATAGAAAGTTGAGGTGTTCTAATGACTTGAAAAAATACCAGTTTGTCTCATATGTCCATAATTAATTCATAATTAGCTAAATTAGAAGAGAATTACCAGCAGAATTCCAAAGAGTGACTGATCACGAATGGTCAAAAAGTCTTTTTTTTTGTTTATCCAGACAGTACATACATGTACATTTATGATTGACCTTTAAGAATACATGATAATTCATTAGAAACACCAATTAATCACATAGTTTGCTTAATTCGACACTAAGAAATAAGGAAACCCATCTTTAAAAGCAAAATAAATTACGTTCTCTTTGCTTTTCACTTTTGCCATATTTCATTGCCCATCTTGATGACGTGGCTCAAACCTACAGAATCCAGTTATTTTCATTTGTGATCTTGTGAAGTTAACAATATATTTTGAATTTAGATTCATCACTACAGCAACACGTCACTTTGGAAGTGTGGCAGCTACGCAGATGAGAAATTATAGAAGTGAAGATTTACCGGCATTATTAATTATATCACGGTCACGCGCTACTAATGAAATAGTTGATGTTATACAGGGTCAGTTATTTATTTTTATATGCCCACATCTCTCTATGTGGACGTATATTGACGGCACCCCTGTCCGTCTTTTGGTCCATTGGCCCGTCCGTCCGTCAACATTTGCTTGTAAACGCTCTCAAAACTAGATTTTTTTTATGGAATCAAATGAAATTCAGTATGTGTATACATAAACGAGGATCAAGTTCGAATTTGAGCTATTTTCGACCGTTAGAAGCACAGTTATTGCCCTTGCCCCAAAATCTTGAATATTTACCATCCGCATGCTGTGGTGGGCGTATATGGCTGTGGTCCACTATCTTTAACATTCTGTAAAATTATTTATTTTCTTGGTCACCAAACTTGTCCTCAGAGGCATATGAGTAGGGAACTTCTGTGAAAGTTGGCTATTGTAGTCAAGGTATAAGATGAAGTTCGTAATAGCATTAGGACATTATGAAGATGATAACGCTAATGTTTTTTCGCTTTTTGAACCAACATTTTTTACTACATTTTGTGCAGATGGACAGTAGCACAATTGGTTAATTAATTCATTTGCTGAGTTACATCGATAATTGTCCTCAAAAGATTGATATTCCTTGACTAAGTCATGTTTTGTTAAAATTCTTCCCATGGACCTAGCTGGTACAGATAATCCAGGAAAATTAAATGCAAAGAGATTTTGCCAAAGTGCTAAAAAGAATCGGACTTATGAACTTAAGAAAAAGTCATTGTAAACAATGATTGTTTGTTTCTTTCATTCTCTTGCCATATATGTTACAAAACTTTATCTTGTTATGTTGACAGGTCATGTAACATTAGATGAATTAATGACAAGATTAATACATTCTGTAGAAATATTTAAAGAACAACAAATAGCAGACATTGCTGAAGAGGTAGGATATTTTGACGAAATTTAAATGAAGTAGTAAACATATGCATTGCACTATTAGTATTTCCCTTAGTTTTCTTGTGGATAACATAATCTATATATCTCAATGTGGAGTGTAGATATAAGTTGATACTGTCCATTTGTATCGTTAGAAAATTATATGTAAGATACAGCAAATATAGCACTTACTGGTTAACTTGGGGTTCAAGATTTTATCATTGATGATACCTTTTCAATGAAGTTTCCACCTGTCAGTGATGCAGGTTAGACACGCTGACATGGAATTGTGTCTTGAAATTTGGATGGTATATAAAACAGGTCTCGTTTGCTGCACAATGTACCCTTTCAAAGATCCCAGTACACAAAAAATGAAACAGGCTATTAACAACGACTTGGCTCATATTGTACCATAGTCTGCATAGCATTGCCCTGTTACATTGATCCTAATTGCAGTACCTATGTAAACATCCTAATTTTTTCTTTCAAATTCAGCAAGAAAGAACGAATAGAGAATTAATCAAACAGCAGCAAGATGCAGCTTATGAAGAGTCATTAGCAGCTGATAAAGCTAAAGCTGAAATCCAGAGAGAAGAAGAAGCCAAAAGACAAGCTATATTAGAAGTTGAATTAGAGAAACAAAGAGAAGAAGACAGGCTGAAACAAGAAGAAGACGATGTGAAAAAGGTATTTATTAGTGAAAGGGAATTTGGTGTGAATATTTATAATGATAAGATCTTCAAGTTCTAATTTGGCTATCATTTGATGAACTGTTTTTGAGTTATTGCCCTTGACTTAGGAAAACATGTCAAAATTTGTTTTTGAACACAATAGAGAGTACAGTTTTCATCTGATTTTAATCATTTATAATGATGAGAATTTGGACAATTGGAATTTGATGATCTTTAGATGAACGTGTTTTTAGTTATTGCCCTTGACTTGAAAAATCGCGTCAAAATTTTGGTATGATTTGACACACTGATATACTAAAAATGTATCAGGAAAGTGACTGTCATGCTAGACAACCACTTGTTAAGATAATCTTTAAGTTGCAACTGTCTGAGAAAAGGGCCTAGGGTTTGCTTTGAAACTTCAGATAAAATTTCATAAGTTAGATACAAGCTCCCCTTTTTCTTGGGGTGTCAAAATCTCTAAAGTGACCTTTGATTAAGTACAATCCCTTTTTTTGCAGAACAAGCAACAATCAGTATCAAGATCTCTAGCACCAGAACCTCCTGAAGATGCTACATATCTCATTAGTCAGATAAGATTTCGTGTACAAGGTGGTGATGTTATCACTAGACGTTTCCGAGCTGATGATACAATACAAACACTACTCAATTTCTTAATAACTAAAGGTTTCCATACAGAAGAATATAAAGTTATAACCACATATCCTAGACGTGATGTAAGCTACCTTTCTCTTTTTTTAAGAATAGCAGACATAAGCTAGAGCATCCTCTCACCTCATTTTGTCTTTATAACCTTATTCTTGAAAACCCAATTAAGATAAAATCCAGATTTGAAGAAATACAGTAATCTGATTGGATAATAAAACAAAATTTAAAATCAATTTTAGTGACTGATCAATCCTAAGATTGAGATGCTAAATTTTACATTGAAAAATACCATATTTCTGATCAAATTGGTCGTATGATTTTTTGTGCAATGGGGCCCTCGTTATAGTATAGTTTGAGTTTTCACATTGAAAGTCTTTAAAAAAGGGTTTTTACTGTCCTTGAAAATATTTTCACTTTTCTTTGATTAATTGTTACTTGAACTTGAAAATTCCTTGTATACAGAGTTGTTCCCTTGATATCAGCCTGTGCATGGAATTAAAGGATTCACATTAAAAGCCCTCATAAACAAGAGTTAACAATGGCATATCCCTGCATTCCATTTCATATTCTGTGGTTGAAAAGTTTTTGGTTTTTTTTCCATACTTTAATTGAGAATATTTTGTTTTGTTTTGTAGATTACACAGTTAGATGAAACACAGACATTACAAGATGCTAAATTATTTCCTCAAGAAACTTTAATCTTGGAGGAGAAATCTTAAAGTTGAGTGAGTGAGAGTTTGAGTGTGAGTTATTATATCATCTGATAATTATATAGGACTTGTATGAGTGTCTTCTATAAATTTGCTTTGAAAGGGATTTTAAAGAGGTTTTCTACATTTTGTATGTGTATTAGGGACACTGATAGCATCAATTTGCACCATTCAAATTTTCAATCAGATGTCTGTGGTTCCTACAATTCTGCTATAACTAAGTGTTTGATGACGTCACTAATCGCAAAATATGCTTAAATATAAAGCCTTTTGTGATTAGTGACGTCATCAAACACATAGCTTATGAGGAATTGCAAGAACCACAGACATTTGGAATTGGATTGGTGCAAATTGATGCTATCAGTGTCCCTTATACACATACAAATTTTAGAAAACATCTTGACAATCCCTTAATTGATGGTTAGAGCTCAATTCAAATTGTAGCAGTTGTCATACCAGTCATGTCTTAATCTGATTAAAATTGGATTACAATTTTGTATCTTTTCTTTGGTTTCAGATATGAATTGTCTCCATTGTAATCTAACAAGTTTCCTACCAATGGCATGTCCTAAAGTAATATTTTTTAACCAATAAAATCCTGTGATGTAGAACCCATTTCTAAATAAAATAAGGAATTGTGGGGTAGCGAAAATTATAGAGTCTAACATCCTTCTACTTTGGGTTTTGCTATCCCAAAATTCCTTATGACACGCTGTGATTGATAGAAATACTACCTTTAAGACAGGTCTTAAGTAGAAAACTTGTTTTTATTTTTCAATTGTCTATAAAAAATTAAAAATTAACACAAAAAAATAAACGAAATTGTAACCTCAAGTTAATCAGATTGGTCATATGACCAGTGACATCATATTGATTGTTAATAACAGCTTCAAGCCAATGGTCTCAAATATCACTGAAGGTCGAATTTAATTTGATTTAAAAAGTGTCATGGACAGCTGACATATCGGCTCTTAAAGAAATATTTAGGTGACTATATAGAAGCTGCTGAAGTGGCTGTGAGAGATTTTATTTTTTTGATGGCATTTTCATTTTGAATTTAGGCATTAAGGCATTGGACATTGTAAAGTTTAAATCAAAGACCTGTTTCTTTTGGCCATTATTAGTCAGGATATAGGATTTTGATTGATAGGTTGTATGATAGTGTATGAATGATGTAAATATATTAATTTATAAATGTGATAAAAGTATGATAGTGTGATATTTGTTTTATGGTTTTTAAACAACCACTGCCACATAAAACCTGTTGACATTTACACATCATTCAGTTTTATTTTCTGCATACATCTTCTGTTCTGCCATTTGAAAATTGTCTTGTGCCAATGTACTTGCTAGATCGAACCCAATAATTTAAGCAGTTTAATTGGATTTCAAGCTTTTCAAAGGTTGATGTCACCTTCAATTCCTATTAGGTGGTTTAAGCTGTTCTATATATAACTTAAATCGGTAATATTAGAATTTATGACATGAAAATTCTAAAAAATGCATAATGTACCATTGTTAAAATCTTGGGCCATATTCTCGAAAAAACTAAAAATTAACATGATACCAAACTTTAAGAAATACAGTGATCTGTTCAGATAAATTTAAGATCTGTTATAGTGTTTGACCAATCAGATGACTATATTACTTAAATTAGTTAAAACCACCAAATATACCACTGGAAATATAACTGGATTATTGAATTAGACGAAATCCACCCCTAGAGGTAAATTTTCTATCTGGATATCTTCTAGTTTTAATGGAATAAGTTTATTTGCATGTGCGATTTTATAGTTATTTGGATAGAACTGAATTACTTTTGCAATGTGAAGGGGGTACTAATAAGAAGCAGGCCCGTAGCCAGCCAAGTACTTCTGGAGGGGCAAACGTCCATACAAGGGGGGCAGTTTAGGTAGCCTCCTCCCCTCCCGGAAAACTTTGTGAATTGTTATGTATTACAGTGGTGCTCTTAAAGACTTATTACTGTCGAGGAGGCCCATTGGAGACACGATTTTCTAAAGTCTGGGGATCTCCTATAGAAAATTTGGCCAAGCCCCCATCTTGGCTACCGGCCTGTAAAGAAGGAAGACTACTTCAATTTTAATCTCAATAAAGCTAAATAGATCTATTTGCCCAATTCCCAATGATTCTAGTTATATATTAAGACCGTTCGAGAATCCTGGATATTAATTTGACTTGAATGGAAGTTTTTGGACTATTTGTGAGGAAGGATGTATGATTGTGTATGTATGATGGTATTATTAACTGTCAAATAACTTTAGTACAATCACACCTATAAACCTTTGCTTACTTGCTTGTCAAGTCCTTATACTATTGTCTGAGCAGGTTTTTTGAATTCTTTCTATTATTTTTATGAGAATTGGAATAGCAGCCTCAAAATAGTGCTGTTAGACTTAAAATATATTTGCATTGATACAAATATAAACATGAGATGAGCACACATTATGTCCTCAAAATTTGTTTTTACAGAGGACAATTTTCAGCCAAAATTTGGGACTCTTTTTGATTGAATTTTCTAGGATTTCTTTTCAATATAAACTTACAAAAGATTATATTTTTATCAAAGCAAATACTTTCTACGAATATAAATACCTTTTTAGATATTCCAATTTTCTTATATAAAAACAATTTGATTTGCTCAGGCAATAGAAATTTTACCTCCTTTTCTAAACTATCGTTTAGATACAATCTGTTGGATGGCGGAGGTTTTAAGGCTTTACATGGAGGAAACCAGTTTTATACAAAGGCCTAAATATTTGCTAAAATACCAACTTTATTACACAGACATTGGTATCACCTTTAAAAATGAAATCCTACATTTGGGTTGTCTACAATTAATTCAGTTTTCGTAAATTTGGCTCCTAGTGGACTTAATTAATTGGTATGTGGTTGTACATTAGTTATATATATTGAGTTAATATAATTGTATATAAGCGACCCTATTATGGGTGTTAAATTTATTTTGACAAGAAAACTGTACAAATCAAATGACTATTATATTATTTTAAAATATAAATCAATTAGTAATTGTTAAAACTTGTATTAATGAAATAAGTTATATCCACATGCTGTATTATTTTTTGCAAAGATAAAGAAAATTCTCTGGTGCAGAATATCTCTTGATAGCATTGAAATTGTTGTCTGAGGAACATTTAACAGAAATTGGGCAATATTTTATCTATAACCTATGGTAAACTACCTCTTAGGATGACCAAAATATTGAAATTTTTATTCTTGGCCTAAGTGGGTCTTTGTTCAATTGACTTACCAGGTGTCATAACTATACAACAGAATTCCTTTATAATCCAATAAATCTAGAAAACTCATTCATTAAACTAAGTAGGTCTAATTTTGAAAGAGCTTAGATTCAATGATTATTTAATTTAATACAGAGAGTCCATTTTCACTTTGACCAAGTTTGTGACTAAATTTTATGTCCATTCTAACAGATAGTATTCCTTTAATAAATCAGATTTCTATGAAATTTGGTATGCATACCTATAATATAATAAATAATTCCCCACATTTTCCTCTTTTGCTCAGCTATTGCCTTACACCTTTATCTACAAATGCGAAATGCAGTTATGATTGATATAGATAATTGAGTTTTGATATAGTTTTAAGTAAACTGTAAGTGATAATTAAGTGTAATGATGGGGGTAGCCAAGCGTTTTGTATTGCCTGATTGTGGCAAATTTTGAAACTGCTTAAAAATTCGCTTGTGTGCCAGCTCATGTCAACGACGATTTTTAACGCCTGTATGAATTGTTGGCATAAAAAATGTTCGATATTTTAGGTGATTAAATTTTGCTCGTCTGCTCAGTATTCTTAAACCAATGAGACTTGATGTTGATATGTGACTTTCAGAATGGCTGCCATTGTCCAGTCCGATAATTGACTCTAAAATATTCGGTAGTTGTGCCCCTTCGCTGGCAATTTTAATCAATGTGATCAGGCTCAAAAAGTACACTCTTCTGCCCTTAGCATAACAGTCATGAAGATGATATTTTATTTTTTTCATGCATGGTCATAAAATGTTTATATCAAGATAGATACTATAGTTATGTTTGTGGATTATGACATATATATTGGATTATTCTGTCTAGAAGTGAAACTTTCCCATAAAATTACAAAATCTTTGAAATGAAATGAAATGAATGGAGTTTGACGTATTACTTTTCTGCACCATGTGGGCTAATGAAGATGGGCAACGCCATGCAGGGTGCCATGAGGGAAATTATGCCAGGACAGTGGCATTAGCCTGCTCTTTTTCAATTTCTAACTCTCTAGGGATCTTTAACGTGCACAGCCTGTAGCACATGGGGCCTCGGTTTATTGTCCCATCCGAACCACTAGATGCTTTTTCCATGTCAGCCCCTCTTACCTGCATCACTGACAGGGAAAAAAAATGAAGCTATATAGTACTATTATCAAACAAAACCAATTATAAGTACCGGTCAAGTTTCGTATTTTGCAACGATATTCAGCATACTTATTTAAAAAGATTTATTATTAAGTTATTTATTAAAAAAATATAAATAAATATCACAATAAGGACGGACATTACAATTAATTACAAACTGGAATTATCATGAATCCATTTCTGCTGATACCATTTTATAGGCTTCTTTAAATGTTATTGGTTTCTTTCTATGTTGCTTGATGTACTGAAATAGACATTTAATAGACATTAGAGAAATATCAAATCAAAAGGATGATTTACAATTTCATCTCAAGATATTGAGGGAAATTAAATTAGTGCATGATTTTGGATCGATTTGCATCTTTATTGATAGCATCAATTTGCACCATTCCAATTTTCAATCAGGTGTCTGTGGTTCCTGCCATTCCACTCAATTGAAGTCTAATCTTGAAGAGTCTTATGTGATAAAGCCTTTTTTGTGATATATGACATCAAACAACTATTTTTTGTGGAATTGTAGGAACCACAGACGTCTATCTGAAAAACAAAATGGTGCAAATCAATGCCATGTCCTCAGTACACATAAAAAGTTTAGAAAACCCCTTTTCAATCCCTTTAAAGCATTAAAAGAACTGGACATACCTCTTTTGTATCTTCTAATGTAGTATAATGATAATTAGTCTCTAATGATGATTGATAATTACTATAAATACGTTGTTGTGCTGATAAAAAACTTTGTGTTAATAATAACTGCTGTTTTAACATATCATGTAGGGCTATCATTGCTGGACTGTATGCTGTCATGGCTTAAATTGAAATAGAAATGTAATAGAAATTACTTTACAGAAATATACTTGATCATTGTTTTAGGAGTCTTAAAAATGTCAGAAATTCTGATCATGATCGCAAGAGATTTTAGTTATTTCACATATTACAATGTAAAGAAATCTGACTGCTTTATGTAGAGTATTACAACATGAGAATAAGTTGTCCAACTTCAGTAGGGACGCAGCCTGAAAATAGGTCAGTTGTATGAAAATCTCATATGGTGAAACTACATGATGCAAGTTCTCTATCAATATTTCTCTATCGCTCTACAATTGATGTATTGAGCACTATTTAAATATTTTAACAGTGAATATATTTTTTTTTATTGTATATAACCAATTAATCAGATATCCTTATATTTGTCCATGGTTTTGAATCTCTAGCTGGAATCATAAGATGCCAAAAAGCCAAAAAGTCAAAATGAAAAAATGGTCCTAACAAGGTCAAACATTGCCACTTTGTATTATATTCAGATTATATACAAATATTATACAATGGTTTTATCTGGACCTGCTCAACAAGTTTTCCAATGATTCTGGATCTCAAGCTAATCATAAGATACCAAAGAACATATTTAAATGGGCAAAAATGGTCATGACACAGTGGGATTCAATGGGATTATTTGGGCCTACAATAGCACTTTCCCCATAGTTCTATCTCTACCTAATCATTAAGTCCCAAAAATGCATATTCAAATGAGCAAAAACAATCCTGACAGGTTAAATGTTGCCACTTCGTATTTTATATCACAATTATTTGGCATCCAATGGTAGAAGTTCCCAGTGGCAAGCAGGCAACAGATATATTTTGTAAAGCCTCACACTTACTTTCTAATGCATCAGCACTAATAACATGAGTAGCAATAGGTGATGGATCAACAAAGTCTAAACCATACTGTGGACCAACAGTAGCATAGGGTGTCTTCCAAGAATAGGACAGACCAGGTTCTTCTCCTGTCTGTACTTGTATATTTCTAGTAGGTGGACGATGTTTTGATGTTTTTTCTGGCTGTCTTAAACTAGAATAAATAAAATAATTACAGTTAACAAATTGCTCGTAACAAAAATTTACAAACATCTTGTACAAAACAAGATTCAAAATAGTTCCTGTCAAAAGACTAGATAAGAACTGCAGAATCTTTTTAGACAATTATGTCTTGCCAGGCAAAAAAGCTTTAGTAAAATTAAGATATTTTTCAGAGAGATCAACAAAAGCAGTGTATGAACTTTGACGAAGTGGTTTAGTGTCAATCAAAAACACTCTCTGTAAATAATATGCACCCATCCAGATGAAAAAAATGATGCGGCTTTTTGCTGTTGGCCTATTGATTTAGGTAAAAAATATTGAAGTACCTTTTGGAAAATGTTTTAGAATCACTATATGATGTATAACTTTCACTGTAACTTCTATCAACATCCTTCACTGGTCGAGATTTGGCTTTGGTCTGGTGGACTCTATCAGAATATGTTTCTGTGATACTTTCTGTGTCACTTTCAAAGCCTTCAGTATAATCACCTGCTGTATCTTCACTGTATTGAGTTCTGACCTCTGATGCCATAGATGATTTATCGTATTTACTTGAAATTCCAATTCGCTCTGATATAGAATCATCATAATCTTGAGATAAAGAAATTTGTTTTCTGGTTGATGGTTTTGAGCCAAAAGTCTGAATACCGGTTAAAGAATCCTTTCGTGGAGTTGGTGTATAACCTCTTCCAGTATGAATTTCAGAAATTTCACTAGCAATACTTTCTTCCTCATCTGAGATTCTTCCCATTAGATCATCAACCGACTGTAACCCAAAGAAAATATCTGAGTCAGCCATTTTCTTTTCTTTCTTCGGTTTTTCTTTTTTGAAACTATGTTTTTTCTCCTTAGAGCTGGCTTTCTTGGTATCTGGTATAGCTGGTTCTAAGGCATTTATATCCATCACATCTGCAATTTAAGGTTTCATCTATCAATTGATAACATGATAATAAAAATCTTTACAAGCAAGACAATTCCGTCAATAGAAAATCTCCTAAAAATGGCAAAATCAGGAGTAAAAGTTGTATTAGGGCTAGTTTTTTCGGCCATTCACGTGTTTCAGGCTTCAATTTCTTACTTTCCTCTACGTAGTCCAACTAGAATATTTTATTTTCCAATTAAGTTAAAGATGGGTTACCTTATTTTTTAGTGTCAAATTAAGCAAACTATTTGATTAATTGGTGTTGCTAATGAATTAACACGTATTCAAGTCATTATGTTCTTATTGCATATGATTAACATTTTTAACCAATCATAAATGCCCATGTAATATTTACAGTCTGGATAAACAAAAAAAGACTTTTTGACCTTTCTTGATCAGTCACTCTGCTGGTAATTCTCTTCTAATTTAGCTAATTATGAATTAATTATAGACAAGTGAGACAAACTGGTATTTTTCCAAGTCATTAGAACACCTCTACTTTCTATTCATATAAGTATTAGCATTTCATTTTCGTAATTGAAAATAAGGGAACCCATCTTTAAGCTTTTCACACTTTTGCTGAATATTACAGTTGATTGTTTATATATTATACTGTTTTGCCCACTGAATGATAAACATTGTAACGAAAATAAACAAAATTCCTAGATCACTGTGAAGAGCAAACTTTAGAGGATTCCTTCAAGATATTTTCATAATAAACCTACTTCTTACCTTTCAATAGATCATTGGAACTACTGGTATCTTGTGTATCTGCTACTTCACTAGTAATAGAATCAACCATGTCTGAATCTTGTGATCGCGAATGGAGGTGAAGTGGTGAAGGTGTTCGCCGTCCTATTATTGGTGATCTTTTTGGTGATCTTGGGCTTGGTGTGTATCTAAATGGTTTGGATTCTGGTGATGGTGATCTTGGTATAGGAGGAGCTCCTTCAACCTGAAATGAAAAATATTTTTTGAACAAATGAAATTGTTTCAAGGTCTCAAACAATTCACTTTCTTTAAGGTATCAGCAAGGTAATAATTTTCAAATATTTTGTGAGAAAACTAAATAAATATTATGATATCTTACAAGGACAACTCTTAGCCAAAACTCTTAATCATTTACAGGTGAATCAAAGAATGATTAAAACCATCAACCAACATTTGTTGAGTTTACTTAAAGGGATTATACAGAGGTTTTTTAAATTTTTTATGTGCATCGGGGACACTGATAGCTTCAATTTGCACCATTCCTATTTTCATTCCGATGTGTGTGGTTCTTGCAATTCCACTAAAACTAATGCGTTTTATGACGTGAAGGGAATTACATATATCAATAGTAGCTTTCGGTAGCTCACCTCTAATGGTGCCATAAAATGCATTAGTTTTAGTGGAATTGCAAGAACCACAGACGTTGGATGGAATATGGGAATGGTGCAAAATGATGCTATCAGTGTCCTGATACCCATAAAAAATTTAGAAAACCTCTTTATAATCCCTTTAATAAATATTGCATGAAGATGAAATAACCATTATTCCATGAACAAGCATTGCCATTGTTTCAACCCCCTCAGCATTTAGTGGTGAATGATGTAATGAAGGAAAAAAAGCACATTAAAACTGTTCTATATCAATGTTAGTAATATACCTACTGGACGTTTGAGAAACTTATTAGGGGACCTAGGTCTGGGTGTTGAATCTGATGAAGATAATCTCTGCATAAAATCAGCTAAACTCTCTTCTTCTGATGTCAGAGCACTGGTTACCTTCTTATTCTTCTCTTTTGAACCTACAATACAATAAAAAACATATATTCTACATTCTAACAGATCAAGAGGTATAATATAGATTGAGATTTTTTAAGTTCTTTGTGTTCATATATAGTTATTTTCCTTTCCATCAATTCCAATGGATAGGCACAGATACTTTTTATATTCTGATCGAGCTGTCCTAAAGACAGATTCTCATATTCAAGTGTTATGACATAAATCTCACTTACACTTGCGCGATTTCTGTTTGTGCAATGTTACACACTACGGCTTGGCAATAATTGAAGTGATTGTGAACTAGCATAAGGAATGTGTGAAGAGTGTGCGCCATGTTGTAGATAAAATTTCAAATGGTTAAAAAATCTGCCACTCTTTAGTTTTCGTACGATATGACTGCAACTCGCATATCCCATGCATGAACATAGCGCAAACACTGCCAAAATTCGAACAAAGTGTGAACTATAAGCAAACAATACTTAAGCAATGAGTCAATATTTTCTGTCGTGCATTGCACAAACATTACATGTACAGTCCGTGAACAGGCCGCAAAGGCTGCATTCCATTGCAAAGCACCAAATTGCACGCCTTGCCATAAGTTCTGAGTAGCATTGCGGGACAAAATTGTCTAAGTGTCATAGTAGCATTACATTGGGACTTTATAGGTTCTTTTCTTTGATACAGTCATTTTTTCTTGCTTATATTTCCCGTATGTAGACATTGCTCTTAAAGAGTTTATTTCAATTTCTGACCAAGCTGTCCCAGATTTGAAAATAGGTCAACAACAACAGTGGAAGATCCTTGTTTCTTACAATCTAAATACCCACCTTTTAAACTTTTATTAGTTTTTTTCACCGTTTCTTTTGTGGCTTTCGGTGTTTCTGGTCTTTTCATAAATTTTCTTCCATCATGACCAACACTCATATCAGTTGGAGTGTCCAATCTTGACAGACGCACTTTCTCACTATCAGAATCAGAGTCAATACTAAACACATTCTGATTGGCTAAGAGTGACGTCTGCCTGGGTACTTGCTCTTTTTTGGTCAGACCAGCTGCTTTGTTCAGTAAGTTGGAAGCATTCTGAGTAATTGTTTTTTTCTTCCTAACTTGAATTGAGCTTTCATCCTCATCACTAATAGGCTCTGGAGGTTTTTTCTTTTTTAAAAATTTACTGCCAGCACCAATTTCTGGGGATTTTTGTTTGGGAGTAGATAAGTTGTCTGAACTAGATATTGATATGTCCCCAAAATCACTAAAATTTATAGACTTGGCTTGTTGTGAAGTCTTTTTCGATAATGTACTCAAATAAGCCTGAAAAATATAAAATATATTCACTGATAATACACATAAATACCAATACAACTAAAGTCGAATCAATGAACAGCAAAATCATCATCATGTCCAACCAACAGACCCCATTTGTCATTCTTCCTCGAGGCTGTCGTAATACAAGTCAGGAACATATTCATAGCTTAGTATGGTCCAATCAAAATTGGCCCTGAAATCTTTAAAGTAAAATTTCGGCCAATCAAATCAAACCACTTGTTCTAAACGCTTTGTTCGTGAATGTAAACAAAAACGAAATGGTGTGTAATTAAAGATCTGGAATTAAGTATGATTTTTCGGAATGAATGAATAATCAAAATCGTACTTTAATTTTAAGTTGTTGAAAAGAATGTGTTCTTATCTCTTCAAAACTGGTGGCAGCAAATCAATTTTGTGTTTAGTCGACGTTCTTCTTCAACTTCGATTTAATCTCCACGCCCACAAACGGAAGTGTAGTTTAATACGGGTTGATAAGACAATGTCAAAACTCTGTATTGGGGATACGATGCAAAATCAATGACTTTGTTATGATATATTTTCTAGGATAAATCTTTTAGACTTACATTTAGCTCATCTTCCTCTTTAGGTACAGTAGGAACTCTTTCACCTTTCAACTGTGTTGATACTTTCTGTAATAGAGCTGATGCTCTACCACCACCTCTAGGTCTATTCATTATGACTTCTATAGGTTTACACCCTTACCACTTCATTTTAAATATCTGAAAAACATAAAATATTTGGTTACATTCAACTATTATATATCGACATTGCAGAAAATCCACAGCCCAATCATTTCATAGAGGCATTGCACACATCGTTGATGTTCAAGGTCAAGGTCACAAGAAGAGAACATGGTGAAGAAGTTGAATTCACTGTTAAAAATATTGTAAAGAGGTTGTCTAATTGTGTATCAGGGACACTGATAGCATTAATTTGCACCATTCCAATTTTCAATCAGACATTTGTGGTTCCTGCAATTCCACAGAAACAAAGATTTTGATGACGTCACAAAGTGACATTCAAATCATATTTTGCGATTAGTGACATCATTAAACACTTGTTTTAGTGAAATTGTAGTGGAATTGCAGGAACCAAAGGCCTCTGATTGAAAATTGGCATTGTGCAAATCAATTCTATCAATGTCCCCAATACACATAAAATTTTTTTTGAAAACTTCTTAACTTAACCTTCCTACTTCTATATGTCTTATAAATAAATATATTTATTGCATTTTCAATTCCACATATTTTACAATAGTAATTGCCATAGCATGAATTTGATCAATGAGCTTAAGGATAGTAAATAAAACCATTTGCCCAAGATTGATTAAAAAATGCAATGCTTTTAACATGAATATAACTATTTTTTTTTTTTATAATTTCAATTCAAAATATTTTACTTAAGTAATTAACATGAATTTGAATGTTAAAACTGTTCCCCAGATATTGATTTTGCTTTTAAAACATGAATATAACTAAAAATTCATAATTTCAATTCAACATATTTTAGTTAAGTAATTAACATTATCATTAAGCCTACAAGTATGAAGGTAAAAACTCTTTCCCAAAAACGAGTCTAAAATACTTTTAAAACATAAATATGACAATGACAATATTTTTTCCAAAATTCCAGAAATCGAATTTCAAGCGATTACAGATGGGTTCAAATGACTTAGAAAAATACCAATTTTTCTCACTAATTCATAACATGTATGATTGGATAAAATTATATGCAACCCTAGTAATTATTTCACTGTTGTCATGATACGGTATATTAGATACATATATTATGTCAACAGATGGTTAATATTTTATGAACACTATTCCACGATTTTATTGATTTTTAAAACTGTTCCTTTCAATGATCACAAAATATACAGAAATAATTATCATAACACTTTTGTTCATTTTTGTTTTCTATATTACGATACTGAACATTGAACTGTTATTCAATCTAAGATGTATCTTATATGGACTTGACAATTGATTAATCAATCACAAAATGTCCCCTAAATAATAAAAAAATTGGCCTGTCAAAAATCCATTGACTATTAGAACTTGATTTATGTTCTACCTTGGGAGGAATACAAATCTCTGACATTAACTTGCTTAGCCAGTTTTATTCAAATGAGACCTAACTTTTGTTCTGTTTTTTAAAGAGCTTTTTCCACAAAAAAAAACACAAAATCCCAGAGTTGCAGAGGGCAGGAATTTGATGGACTGGTGGCGTCATCAAACAAACTTATGGGTCTTTAGACCCTAACTGAAGTAGATATATTATAAATAAAAGCTAAGTTTGGTCTACTACTAACTACTACGACTACCAACAAGCTACCTACTTTGCGATATCAGCATCCACTGGATGTGAGCGTTAACTTGTCATCTACCTACCAAACTACCTCGGTCGGTCGGTCGGTCTAATTTTAATTAGACTGTTGCTTAGCAGACAACAATCAAACTGTGAAAGTTCATATATACTGGTATACTTCATGAATTAACAATCCTTATGCAAGATTGCATCAGCCAAATTTTCAGTATAAACCAGATCCCTGGGACACAATACTTTTCTCATGCTCAGCTCAGTTTTTACTCAAATTCATACTGCCTCTTGCATCAACAAAAAAAAAACACTAGAATTATTGTGCACTAAGAAAGGGTTTGATATACTTCTTTTCTTTGATGCAATCAAATGCAATTGTTTGGTGCAATACAGCTGATGAGATTTTACCCAAATTTAAGTAAAATCTCAGCTATATATATAAACAAAGGTTTGTGGCCTTGGGTCCAAGGTCATTGAAACTACAGGTAAATTGAAGTATATCTGTTATTTATTGAACCTAATTTTTTAAACTGATGATCTCACTATAGTGTTGAACAAATACAAGTCTTACATTGTTTACGTTTGAATTTTACAAATTTGACTATATCAATATCACTCAAATTTTTACTGATTCTCATTTTAGATACAAATAAGGTTCAACCTTTACTACCTTATTGGTATAAACTTATCAAATTGTATATAGTAATGTTAAACCTTGAAAGAGCATTATGATTTTTTCATAGGTGGACAATTTTATTTTATCAAATTTGTTAAAACTATACAGCAAAATCCAGTGAAATGTGTCTGAAAGTTATAACTTTAATTTTTAACACCAAAACTATTTATGATGTTGAAATTTTCAACAGTTTTTTCCAATAAAAAAGTCTACAATTTTACAGACTAGGAAGCTTCAATAATGTCATTTATTTTTTTAAATCACAAATGACATTTAAAGGGATGGATGCGCAGATGCGACAGGAATTTTTTAGCTTAGCCAATTAGTAATAGTGTTCACAGTTCACCGTCGAAATTTGAGCCTTCAAATCCTCGTCTGTCCGGCATTGTCTGTGTTTGAATGGTAAAATGATGACTCTTTAATTCAATATACACTGTGATAAGCTTATATATAGAAAAGACATATATAGAAATAGTGAGTAAAATTCATAGTTTGAAGTTTTTGTAAAGGAATTATTCAATTTTCATACATTTCTAGAACTTCTGAATGAAGACAAATTTATACAATATACAAGACTTAAATCTCCCACACCCCCCTTCTCCCACCTCGAGCACTTGTACCGTTAAGTTTGATTACATAGATGGGAAACACAACAGCACTCATTGTCTCAGACAACGCCCTCAAGAATTTACCCTTGATCTTCTTAAAAAATTGTTCATTGATAAAGGGTATCATAAAGATTAAATAAATCCAGTTATATAACAATTGGGTTGATTAAGAGTAGATTAAGAGTAGATATTAATGATAATTGGTCAACTATATAAAGATAAATAATGACTAAAGGCCATTTATCACTTGCCACATGTCAATAACATTGTAACAATACAACTGCTAAAAATATATATACTCTTATCAATGTCAATCAATATTTTTTTATATCCTTTTAGCATGAATAAACATTGGCTCTTCTGAATACAATTTTTTAAGATAACTTTTTAACATATAGTTTAACATATAGTTATGACAAAATTTATGTTGCGGAAAGCAACGGCCAATTACTAAATTCAATGAATTACTTAGTAAGATTAGTGATGTATATCTTTTTTGATATTAAAACAGAACCTGAAACAAGTTATTGTATTGAATTTCTCTCTAAAAAAAATATGCTTATTTTAATCATAATCCAAAAGTATTTTCCATTTTTAGTGAATTGTTTTGTATGTGTCTGAATATCAAAATCAATAGTGATTAATCGAGTGAAGGAAGTCCTTTCAAAACTATATTTTTCTACAGAATAGAGAAAAGCTTCAGTTTAAATGTGTGTCATGTTGACCTGGATTAGTTATCAATAATTATTTCCATATCTGACAGCAGGATGATTAAGACTTTAACACTAGCCAATGAAATATCACACAGTGGAGCCAATCACAGACTGACATATGTTTAAGTCACCTACAAATCAAACTATTGTGAAACAGAATAACAAAATTTATTGAAATTATTCAAATGAGCATTTTAACACAAATATTTTATGACCTCTTACCCAAAAGAGATGTTTTTGCTATTATTGTATTATAAGCTTAGCTTTTTATGTTTTTTATTTAATCACAGATAGAAGATATTAGACATTTTTACCATATGTCACCTTGTAACTGTTATGATGCTTAAGAAATGTGAAATTTAAGCTTTGTTATAGTAAAAAAAACTGACATTCAATATTATATAAGTTTACAAAGTACTTCACACAATCTGAAAACAATAACAATATGTTTATTAGGTAATGAATTAGGTCAAAGCCTGATTGAGCTCTAAATCACAACCTAAGATGTTTTTTTGTTAAGTTTTGTCCTGGAACATACCTTAACATTTGTCAAGGATTTCAACTTCTATGTAAATATATGTAAACAGTCTTCAGAAATGTAAAGGTCAAATTACTTGTGTTTACCAAAACATTACAACAGCACAATAAGGCTTTAAGACATTTTCTTGGACATAATTCTGAAGATCAAATAAGATGGACCTAAAGTTTGGTTAGCAGGAATAATTTAATTGTCCTTCTTGTGGCTGGGGAAGTTTTTTAGAATTTTGCACAACTACAAAAGGTAGCACAGTGCTTTATATAATAGGCTAATATACCCATACAATTTTGACAAACAGACAAGCACTTGCCACTTGAAATTACATACATATTGTTGGCTATTGTCAGGACATTTAGGCTAGGCTATAAAAATTTCCAATCTTCATTAACCAATGAAATATAACATCGTGCAACCACTCACTACATGACAAATGTTTAGGACAGACAGCTGTCAAATGATTCACAAAATGTCAATTCAATTTCTACTTCTAATATTTTAAAGGGACAGGTTTGCCATTTTAGGGAGTTGATTTGGGTCTTAAATATATATATGTAAATAGTCTTCAGAAGTACTAAAAAAATCGCATAATTCATTCAAAAATACTTAGGAATTTCACTTACTAAATTTACTACTCCCTATAGTCTTTCCTATATTTTCTATATATGGCAGTCTCAAGAAACGACGAGTCGTCCTTTTAACCTTTCAACGCGGATAATTCTAGACACACATGGATTTAAAAGCTAAAATTTTGACAGTTAGCTTTGAACACTATTACTGGTTAGCTTAGCTGTGTTTAGATAAAAATATTCCTGTCTTTTGAGATTATAGTAATTGGTGTAACGGATGGCGAACATGTCCCTTTAAACAAAAGTAAAAAAAGGGAGCTATAAAGATTATGGCCTGAACTGCCCTAAGTAAGGCCTAAACCAGAGTCAAGATTAGGCCTGATTAGGGGGTTGATAAATTTTCAATGCCTATGTTACGGTTACCAATTTCCATCTGCGATATATCCAACTCTTTGAGCTGTAGCCCTATTTAAAATTGAAACAGCTCAAAGTGTTGACATTTATGCAAGTGAAGACAAACTTCAGTTTCTCATTGTGAAGAGTGGTACAGACTACAGACAGGACATGTCTGTGCACGGAACGTCTGAAACTGAAGCCGCCACTGAAGGAAAAAATTTTGTCAAAATTAATAATAGATAAAGACAGGCTAAACTATTTGGAAAATATAATCACTGAAAATAAAATTTGACACTGTAATTTGGACTATGTCTATGGAGACAATTTAAGTCAATCATGTGTAAAGATTTGGGTTTAAAGTTTCGAAAAACGAAATATTACCTGAACATGAGAATGTCAACTTCCTCTAGAAAAAATATAAACAAAAAAGTTATGCCCCTTTAATAATTCCTAACATCGGTTTGTTCCGTAATGTTTTCCGCTAAATCTCGGTATTTTCCGGAGGAATCCACGCGGGGTGATTCCCTGCTCTGCGCGTGGTGAAAGCTGATTGGTTGATGAAAGCCAATCAGAGCTGTACAACTGTCTGAGTCACGTGGTTGGGAAACTATACTTACTTCGGCACCGGTTGTGTTAGGTCCTTCCAAAAATTGTGAGTGTCTGGTCAAAATGAAAGCAGGTTTATTGTTTCTTGCCCTTGTGGGCACTGTATTATGTGATCCCAAAGTGTATTTTAATGAAGAATTCAAAGGTATGTATTTTGATTGTGTTTTGATATCAAATAATCATTTTCAACAGTCTACACATGTGAATTGAATATTGTGGAACGATGTGCTTGCTTTGCTTTTTTTTTTTTTAAGTCAATTTAGATTTTCTTCTGTCACAATTTTGTAGGCTGAGTTCCATTATTATTGGCATGAATATCATGTTGCAAAAATGGTTAGACCTAAGTTTAATTGAAAAAATTGTTGATTCGTTTAAAGTTTAGTTAAAAGATGGAAAGACAGGCACATACACTAGGCCTACACCCAACAAAAACTTGGCATAAGCCTAGCCTATAGCCTACAGGGCTTAAGTTGAGGATAACAATCTTTTAATAAATATTTTCTTGGCCAGTAGAGTAGGGGTAGTTTAGAAGCTTTTAAATATATTAAATTGCTATATTATTGTCGTATTTCAGATGAATCATACACTGACAATTGGGTAGAATCCACCAAAAAAGGAGCAGAGCAGGGAAAATTTGTTTGGTCTGCTGGTAAATTTTATGGGGATGCTGATAAAGACAAAGGTATGTATATGATAAACAGAAAATAACCTGAAATTTAAGGCTTTACTTCAGTTTTTTTTTACCATTTTCAGTCTGGATTTGATTTAAGACATTCCAGAAAGGCAAAATTTGAGCTGAGATATATTGATAAACTTTTCTTATTTCAGGTATTCAAACATCTCAGGATGCCAGATTTTATGGCCTTTCTGCTAAATTTGATAAATTCAGCAATGAAGGAAAATCACTGGTCGTACAATTCACAGTAAAACATGAACAAAACATTGATTGTGGTGGTGGATATGTTAAAGTTTTCTCCAGTGACTTAGATCAAGAAAACATGCATGGTGATTCCCCATACTTGATCATGTTTGGTAAGTACTCAGAAATTAAACAAATTTCACCAGCATCATGGTTAAAAAAGTATCAAGTTATGTAATAGTTTTTTTCTCATCTCTTTTCCGATGATTTAACAAATGGCTAAATTGACATTTTGGACAATGATTAATACTGAATTTTATGAATGTAATGTTAAAAGCTCTAAAGGTGTGATAGAGCAAACATGTTAATGATAAGTGTACTTTTATTTCAGGGCCTGATATTTGTGGACCAGGTACTAAGAAAGTCCATGTGATCTTCAACTACAAAGGCAAAAACTTATTAATCAAAAAAGATATCCGATGCAAGGTAAAAAAAAAAACTATTTGAACCAAGGAATTTATCTAGTGTCTATGGTCTTTTGTAACGCTGTTGATTTAACAAAGAAAGCAATAGTATATCTGCTTTTTAACACGATCAGGTGAAATCTGAAAATTAGACAGTGGTCAGTTTTCAATTGTAATTTTGCTTATCTTAATTTTATCTTTATTCATTTCAGGATGATGTTTACACACATCTGTACACTTTGGTTGTCAACTCAGATAATACATATGTTGTAAAAATTGATAACGAAAAGGTTGAAAGTGGTGATTTAGAATCAGACTGGGATTTCCTTCCCCCTAAGAAAATTAAGGTAAGATGCATTGGAATTCCACGAATAAAGCGGCCTAATATGGAAAAATTGTGACTAATCCAAAGGGCGGTACAAATCTGAAAATCTATTAATTATTGCCTGGAGGTCATTTTCTATCATCAATGTCTATTTAAAGTGTAATTTTTGCCATGTTTTAAAGACCTGCATTATTTAAGAGAATCTTGTTCAACAAGAGATAAATATTTTCCATATTGTTTTTAAGGATCCAGAAGCTAAGAAACCAGAAGATTGGGATGATCGTGAAAATATTGATGATCCTGAAGATACTAAACCAGAAGATTACGATAAACCAGAACATATTCCCGACCCAGAAGCTAAGAAACCCGATGATTGGGATGATGAGATGGATGGTGAATGGGAACCACCAATGATTGACAACCCAGAATACAAAGTAAGTGGTTTGTTTTTGTCCTAAATTGGTATTTATTTTATTACCTTTTGGTTCTGAGCAGGTCATAGATTAAAGCAGTAAAAGAACATATAGTGTTCCCTTGATGAATTTGTCCATGTCCACTACAATGAACTAATTATTTGTGTTTATTCTAGGGTGAATGGAAGCCAAAACAGATACCTAATCCAAAATACAAAGGAAAATGGGTACACCCTGAAATTGATAATCCAGAATATTCCTCTGATGATAGTTTATACAAATATGATGATATTGGTGCTCTTGGATTTGATTTATGGCAGGTATGTATAGATGTTGTTTGGTTAGCCACAAAGTGTTGAGATGGAATTTGTTAACATATGAATTCAAATTCTTACATCCTATGGTATTGTGTATTGGTATTGCATTCATATTACATTCACAATACCATAAGCAGATGATTTTTATGTGAAAGATGCAAAATATTTTAATGTTCTGCAGCTAAGAACTCTTTATATTTTAGGCCAGGCATGTTATACTTAAAATTCAGTTTTTTTTGTATTTTAATTTGATAAATATTTTGTAGGTAAAATCTGGAACTATTTTCGACAATGTCTTGATCACTGATGATGAAAAATATGCAGAAAAATACGGAACAGACACATGGGGAGAAACAAAGGTAGGTTATAAAGATATTTTTCTTTAGATGAGATCAGAATTTAAGAAACATAAAATAATAATTGCAAGGATGCACAAATTGCACATTTTTGGGATGGTCAAATGTTTGAGTTTATGAAACAAAGCACAGCTTTTTTTTATAGTTGTATGTGTGCCTGATATTTTATAATTATAAAGTTTATTTTTATTTTAGGACCCAGAAAAGAAAATGAAAGAAGCACAAGATGAAGAAGAAAGTAAAAAGAGAGAAGAGGAAGAAAAGAAACGTAAAGAAGAGGAAGATGCCAAAAAAGATGATGATGATGAGGAAGAAGATAAGGAAGAGGAGGAGGATGAGAAAGAGGTCAGTAGTTTTTTGGCTCTTAATGATTTTAGTACATGTCTGAAAGATTTTTAGGTATCGAGTTTAACAAAATCTAACTAATCAAGCACAAACTTAAAATTAGACTTGGGTAATTTTTCCATCTCACTATAAATCATGTAAAAAGTTAAATAAAAAATTGAAATTTTACTTGGTGAAATTTTTTTGCAAGAAGCATATTTATATGTGATGTATTTGTATAATTCAGCTGGCTTTTAGTGATTTTTTGGTACAAAGACTTTTTTTTTGCTAAATGTATATTTGTTTTCTATTTTCAGCCTGACCATGATGAATTATAATCCAAATGTTCCTATTCCTTTCATTTTAAATCGCCATTTCATCAAATTGTTGGTCATTTTTATCATCCGACGAAGAGGAAACTCCAAGTAATGGGATAATATTTCAAGTGGATAAGCATGGTATTAATATCATAATGCTGTGCAGTATCTTGTGATATGATTTTTTTCATCTGGCATAAAGACAATTCTACAAAAGTACCTGCTCTTAATTTTAAGTTGTTATATGAAGATTTTTGAAAGCTATTTTTTTGTTGTGATGTTTTTTTTTTTTTTTTTTTTTTGATGGATGTTGCATTTCAACTTGGGCTACTAAAATCATGATTTCATCGTTACGTTCATGGTTCTTTTTTTTTTATTATTTAAAAGAAAATATATTTAAGTGTATAGTAAACTTGATGTAAAATATTTCTGTACATTGACAAAAATAGTATGGATGTCTAGACACAGTTTTCTGCTGTGTAGATAGAGTATGAAACTGTGTGTAGGCAGCCTTGAAATCTAGACTTAAGGTGAAGAAGTGTATTTTACCAAAATTAGTTATAAAAAGTTGTTATATGGTAATAAATACTTCTTTTTTATATAAAATTGTCTTTCATTTATTTGCCAGTGGTTGTGAATTTTCTTATGGACAGTTGATTCTTATAAAAGGGTAAAGGGACTTCGGCTGTTTCACAACCTATATCAGGATGAAGATATACATGTATTTTGTAAGACTGTGACTATTGTGACTATTTGCACCGCAATGGTACAAAAATGGGCATTAAAAAACATATGCCTAACCCTAACAAAGTCACTTAACATCATTGTCAATCAAAATGGCTTTATTAAAAAAAAACCTAGCGTGTCTTAGCCATAGTTAGCAGCAGCAGCCAGTGCAATTTTTAATGGCATTGAACTTAATTCCATTTATCACAGACTTGTCAGGCCCCTCTGACCTTCATTACAAAAGCAAGGAATCGAGGTTAAGGGAGCCCAAGATATCTCATGCTAGAATTGATTCCTTTCCCCTCTGAAGTTCCTTTTGGGATCTAGTAAAAGCGATTTGGGCAGCATTGAAATCTATATGAAGAAATATGGTAAAATATTTCTAGACCTTCATCATATTAGCGCATATGACTTAACAAACAGAAGGTGACCATGTAGACTACACTCTAAGATAAGATAGCTGAATTTGAGTTTTATCAGCTGGAAATGTAAATATTCAGATAACTTTGACATGAAAATAACACCATGGGCAAAGAGAAAGCCCTCACTTGAAACCTATCCCCTTGTTTTTGTTTCTTACTTCATGACCTAGGCCAATGCCTTGAAAACTATTCTCATCTCACTCTAAGGATGGTCAAAGGGAGATAACAAAATTTAAAAAAATTCAATATTCTTGCTATGTCTTCATTTTCTTTCAAAGGTCAGACTGACCGAAAAATATGCAAACCCTAAACAATTGTACATAAACTTCCTTTTTCGTTTGTTAGAAAACTTGCTATAGCTTTTTCAGCCATTGCTAAACACCATTTCCTACCAAGTGCTCAAAGACTGTATCATAGAAACAACAAACAACAAAAAAGGATTCTAAGTAATTAGTAAGTTTTATTAATGGAAAAGGCACGTATTATAAGATATGAATATAGAATAATGAAATAATCACAGATGTGTTGTTATAATATATTTTATCTACATTAAAAATCACAATGGCATAGTTTAAATTTTGGACAGAAAATAAAACAGTTATCAATCAACTTTCAAAAAATTTTCAGAAAAAAATCACTCAGTAACACATGGAAGATCAAAAATTACCCACTATTGCTAATTTCCAATGAAGCAAATATATGCTAAAAAATACCCTCTTAAGGATGAAAATCTCAAAGTCTTTCTAAATGAAAGATTAAATTGTAGCAGGATTCACTAATTTGAATTTAAATTGTGTTATTTAGAGAAATTCTGAAATTCTATATTTTTTTTGTACAAAACTGTGACAATGAAAATGAACAGTGCAGATGATATCTAAAATTCTAATAGTGAATATATTTTGTGCATAGAGTGTACATCTGACATGAAAGAACCCTAATTGTAGGCCTATACATGTCCATGGGCCTCAGATAATATTTTGTGAAAGAAAACAATAATTGTGTTTTAACTAATATTTCTATATAAGAGGCACTCATCATGATTGCATATTAATTAAGATTGTTCATTAAAATTTACAATCACAGTAAAAAGTGTATGGTATTTTGGCATATGAAGGTCAAAGCATAGGCTATAGATCAGAAATTTGACTTAATGTACATTATTATAATGAAAGCATTATGTAAGTATATAAAACTCTTTAAACACTATGCATAGATGAATAATAAGGAAGTGTTTGCATTATAGCATCTTCACAATGGTCATGGTTTTATGAATTAAAGGGATTGTAAAGAGGTTTTTCTAATTTTTGTATGTGAATCGGGGACACCATCAATTTGCATCAATTTGGTTCCTGCAAGTCCACTAAAACTATCTGTTTAATTACGTCACTGAATGCGAAGGGCCTTATGTGATAAAGCATATTTTGCGATTAGTGACATCGTCAAACACTTTGTTTTAGTGGAATTGCAGGAACCACAGACGTCTGACTGAAAATTGGAATGATGCTATCAGTGTCATACACATAAAAATTTCACAAAACCTCTTTAGAATCCCTTTTAGAAAGAATTCTTAATACCTTGATAATTATGAAGATAGTAAAACAGAAGGTATAGACCTGAAGTAAGTTGCAATACACTTCAATAAAGAGCACTATAATCTACTTTTTAAAAAAAAGATAACTCTAATACTTTAACTTTTGAGCAAAATATATCATTATGCTATATAATCTATATGAAAATTTTGTGCGAGGATGTTGCATATGTCTACATAAGGTCAATTTCAAATTACAGCTATTTCAATTTTTTAAATTCCAAAAGAGCTTACAAAAGTCATGAAAGTACAATAAAAAATAATCAATTTAGTTGCAGTCAGCATGCTTTCCAAAGAATACATATTCCAAAGTAGTTCTAAAATACAATAAGCACAATTTGAAAAAGCTTTAAAAAAACTGATTTAGTAGTGTTAAATATAATTTCCAAATAAAGCCTATTGCAAAATAGCTCTATAACATGATCACCATTTCCAAATTTCTATATTCTGAACACAGTTGCAAATAGAGCTTAAAACAGCTTCTGCCATATTTAGCAAATACTTCAATTTACTGGTCAACTCCACTCAAAACAGCTCTAGCAATTGAAACACAATTTAAAATAAAGCTACTTAAAGAGGTTTTGTAAAATTTGTATGTGTATCAGGGACACTGATAGCATCCATTTGCACCAATCCAATTTTCAATCTGACATCTGTGGTTCCTGCAATTCCATTATATCTAAGTGTTTGATGACGTCACTAACGGCAAATTATGCTCTATCATATAAGACCCTTTGGGATTAGTGACGTCATAGAACAATTAGTTTTAGTGGAATTGCAGGAACCACAGAATTGGAATAGTGCAAATTGATGCTATCATTGTCCCTGATACACATCAATTTTTTTTTTAGAAAACGTCTCTACAATCCCTTTAACAACAAAATAGCTCTATATCTAAGAAGTGTCAAGAATTTGAAACTTAAAAATATGAAACATAACAAAAACAAGATGGTATAACGTAAATCATAAATATCCAAACAAAAACATAACTACTTGTAAAAACATAACAACTAATAACAAATTATTTCTACTCCTTAAAAGGTATTATGAGGTCTTAATTTATAGCAGGTCTCATTGGTTTCCGAAGTTTTTTTGGTGCATGGAAACCATGTTATTTAAATACACTGTTGATATGGAAGATTTCTTAAATGATACATATTTGATAGGGCTGCAACGATTCACCGATGAATCGCTATTCTTTCCTTTTCTTATCCATGTAATGCATTTGATAAAAATAATCACGATGTATTGGCAGTTATTTATTAGCCTCCTTTAATAACAAATGACACAGAATCCTCAAAATTGATTTTCTTCTCAAAATTTGTTAAAAAAAATAATTTCTGACTGCAAACATTAAGAATTTTCTTTCACAATTCTTTACTTCTATACGTCTTCATGTAAACAATGACAAAATTGTTATAATTTTTTTAAAAATTTCTCTTCCCTAAAATAATAAATAAATCGCAATTATTATCACAATAAATCTTATCATTGATCATCACGAATCGTTGCACCCCTAATATTTGATAAAGATACTGTCGGTGAAATGATTGATATAATTTTTTGATAACACAAACAGACCTAGATCTTTAATTAATATTTTTGCTCGACTTAAAGGGATTGTAAATAGTTTTTTCTTAACTTTTTATGCATATCTGTTACACTGATAGCATTGATATGCACTGTTCCAATTTTCAGTCAGATATCTGTGGTTTCTCCAATTCCCCTAAAACTATCCCAAAATCTGCTTATATTAAGTGATAGTGACATCTTAAAACGCTTAGGTTAAATGGAATCGCAGGAACCACATACACCTGACTGAAAATTGGAACGATGCATAACAATGTTCTTGATACACATAAAAGTTACAAAAAAATCTTTAGAATCCCTTAAACCATATGTAGCTACATACAAGCATCAAGGCTACAAGGTGTAAAAAATGCCCATGACTTATCAGTCAGTATTTGTTCAATTCATAATGGCAGGTATATGATAATTGCAACCATTTTACGTAAAAATCAATAATATAATAGCTAATAACAGAATTAAAATCAAGATATGATTAATGTGCAAATTGATTTGATAAAAGCAGTGCTGATTAGTGTAAATAAATAAACATTTATGTGTTTATAACAAATATAAATACCATTGAATTGTAAATAAATATGATTTAAATCTCATTGTGAAATCAAACATATAAAATCAAAGTTCCAGTCACATTTAGGCATAATGTTATTAGTGACACTATATCAGAGATAGTGATGTTTATAATTGCTTTTGTGAACAAACAATAATTAAAATTATACCAAACTCTCCTTCCGCTTTTTTGTTTAACTTGTATTTTAAATGTTGCCACTTCACTTAGAGTCTAAAGACGGCCTCTCAAACATTTGTCAGTTTGATGATGCCACCAACCAATTAAATTTCTCTCCAACGCTGGGAATTTTTGACACGAAAAAAAATACATGAAAAATAATACTTCGGAATCTCAGCATTGCAGATGGCAGAAATTCATGAGCCATCAGCAAAAAAAATAAGGCTTGTTATAGACTTGAATTTCCTCCAAAGAATTCTTTGTTTTGTGGCTTTATATGGCTAAAGAAGTGTAACAAAACAATAATATTAAACAAAATGTGACCCATCAAAGAACGAGGTTGAAATCACCATCAAAATTTGAGCCTTCGAATCCACTCGTCAATTTAAGATACTTTGTGATATATATAAAAAAAAAATATATAAATAGAAATAGTGAGTAAAATTCCTATTTTGAAGTATTTTTAAAGGAATTATGTGATTTTTGTACATTTCTAGTACTTCTGAATCAACCCCCGAAAATGGCACATCTATCCCTTTTATTAAGATCAATCCTGCTATATCAGTATT